ATACATATACATATATATATATATACTGGTAGATAGCCTAAGCAACATTGCTGGTAGCTAGATTGCAAACCCACAAAACCCACTCTTCATATTCGATTGGTCTCCCCAGCTTCCAGCGCCCATCTCCCATCTCCCAGGAAGCCCGCTCTCCATTTATGCTCGTATGCTTGTACCATTGTATGCATGCATATTAAATTCAATCGAATGTATTCTCTATACTCGACGTATACGCTGTGTTATTTTTTTGTTTTTGTTTTCTGCTTCTGCCGCCTCTACAGTTGCCTCTACAGTTGCCTCTACAGCTGCCACATTACGTATACGTAACGTAGTGCGCCACACTCTGTAGATTCGTTAGAAATAGGCGGAGCTATCAACGTTTTCAAGTTATAATAAAAATGCAACATATTTTACAGACATGTCATGTATATGTCTGTGTATGCATGCATGTACATATGTGTGTACCTTTCAATATATGTCTCTGTGTGTGCGTGCACATGTGTGTGTGTGTGTGTGTGTAGATAAACTCTTATTGCTCTGTCTACTTTCGATAGATTTTTTCCTTCGTTATTGGTTTCGAGTAGCGTAACTTTTTTCGTCATTGTTGTTGTTACATACAAGCCCACACACACTCATATACATGGACTTGTAGTTGTTGCTGCTCCTTACACACAAACGAGTACACACAGATCTGAACAGCATTTTATTTTTGTCGATTTTTTTAATATTATTTTTGTGAAACTCAAACTCAGACTCGTCGCGAAAAACTTGTGTTTTTATTGCAGCCACTACTCTGCTCTAGAGGTATTTCATTCCACTTCATATTTCCTGCCCTCCCCCTCCCCCCATTCTTGTTGCCATTGCTTGTTCCATCGTTTCCGTTCGCCGTCGCCGTCGCCAGCGCCAAAGCCACGGCCATGGCCATTAGGAAGGAGACATTTTGCTAATGCATTGATTAAAATTGAATTTTTAATTAAAACATTGTCGTTGGAGTATGCAAGGGGGTATTTACTTTTTTAATTCCACTCCTCTGCTGCGGAGAGACAACTATTTATATGTGGCGAATTGAAATCACTTTGTAACATATTTTGATAGCATTGGCTTCTCAAGCAAATAAAATACTCGCACACAAGTTGCAGTTGAAGACGTTTAAAGACCGAATGCAAATAACATAACTCGCTATTTGCTGTGTATGCATGTGTGTGTGTGTGTGTGTGTGTGTGTGTGTGTGTGTGTGTGTGTATGATTGTGTGTGGTGTCAAACCACAAACACCTTTTGCGTAAAATAAAGCAATCAAGCAAATAATGTTGCCACATTACACTATCAACAGCTTCCTGCTTGGCTACACACACACACACACAAACACATGCGGAGACGCAGTCGACAGACGGAAATTCTTTAATGGCAGTCCTGGATGCACACACACACATATATATATATATATATATATATATATATATATATATACTTGGCCTGGCTGGCTGTTCAGATTGCTGCCAGCAGGCTAAAGTAAAATTGAAATCATGTCGCAAGCAACAACCTTGAAGAATGTCTCACCAGCACACACACACACACATATATAAACCGTATACAAGTGCAGACGCACACACACACACACACACACACACACACACACAGAGTGAGGCAAGTGTCTGGCACAATGTCTCGACTCGACTCGACTCAACTTAACTCAACTCGACTCTTGGTGCTCGGCCCCCAGTGTGGTTCCCTGATGTTTGGCTGCTGAATGCGGTTGTGAGTGTGTTTTCCTTTCACTTTCGTTGCTTCTGCCATAACCTTTGCACTTCCGCTTCCCTATCCAATGTGTTGTTATGCCATATTTAACAAATTATCTGTAATTTCTCGAGTAGCCACACTCGGAGCTACTTTGCTTGCTCATATATGTATACGAGTATGTGTGTGTGTGTGTGTGTGTCGGCCATCTTGTCATGCTCAGCAATCCCTGGCCACAACAAACATTTACCACTAAAGCCAAGCACACTCACACTCGCACACATACACACTTATATGGCCAAGCCGGCAGAAAGCCACTTGTCAAGAAGTGTGAGACTGAGCTGCCAGGATTTTGGGGCTACAAGCAGCCGCAAACGCTTAACTACAGACAACAACCACAGCTACCATCTCCTCCCGTTCTCCCTCCCTCTTTCTCCATCTGTGACTGTGCCAAGTGTCAAGGACGTAGCCAGAACAGCATTCTGCAGAACAGCAGACTGCAGTATTCGTCGTCGTCGTGTCCATGCCAGATGGCAAAGGCAGAAGGAGAATGTCGAAGAAGGAAGTTGCTTGTGAGTCGCCGGCATTCAAGGCTGACCGACCCTTTGGCTTCCAACTGCGCCGGAGTGTTTGTCTGCTTTTCCCAGTGTCTGTGCCTGAGTCTGTGTGTGTTTCTGTTTCTATTTCTGTTTGTATGTGTGTGTTTAGGTTTTGGAGCGCTTGTGTCTCGAAAGATGAAAGGCACTTCCCATTCAACCAACGATACAGTGGTTTCAAAATCAAAACTTTGCAAGCATAAGAAAAGCTAAAGCGTTAAATACATGGCAGAAGTACGGAAATTAGAGAAACGTTAGATTTATTTCTTTTGAAGATATCATAAGTATATTTCAGATGATTATACGTCAGATATCTGCACGTCAAATAACTATAAGTTTTAACACTGCTGTTCATATGGAGAGAATTCATAAAGACATGATCAAAATAAAGCTAAAGAGTTAAAAACTTGGCAGAATTACAGGAATTAGAGAAACGTTAGATTTATTTCTTTTGAAGATGTCATAAGTATATTTCAGATGCTTAAACGTCAGCTATCTGCACGTCAAATAACTATAAAGAGATAAAGACATGATCAAAATAAAGCTAAAGAGTTAAATACTGGGCAGAATTACAGGAATTAGAGAAACGTTAGATTTATTTCTTTTGTAGATATCATAAATATATTTCAGATGCTTATACATCACATAACTATAAGTTTTAACACTGCTGTTCATATGGAGAGAATTTATGATAAAAATAAAGCTAAAGAGTTAAAAACTTGGCAGAATTACAGGAATTAGAGAAACGTTAGATTTATTTCTTTTGAAGATGTCATAAGTATATTTCAGATGCTTATACGTCACATAACTATAAGTTTTAACACTGCTATTCATATGGAGAGAATTCATGATAAAAATAAAGCTAAAGAGTTAAATACCTTGCAGAATTACGGGAATTAGAGAAACGTCAGATTTATTTATATTTAAAGGTATCAGATATTTACCCATCAGATGCTTATGTCAGATAACTACACGTCAATTGCCTGAGAGTTTTAAAGTTGACATAGAAAATATAAATCATAAAGACCGCTTTTGTAATCGATCAAAAATGAGGATATACTATATATGTAATTCCAAAAAGGTATATCTAGTCTAATATGTACTATATTTGATTAAGTTTTACAGCCCTAAAGCATGAGTATGTTCCAGTTATCGAAAACATACTGAAAATATCTCCAATTAATACTAAACGATGACTAGAATGATAGATAATAGATAAAATAGATAATATATAATTAAGCAGATCAGACATAATGGTCTATTTGAGATTATGGTCTTTTCAATTTTTCAATTTTCAATTTTAAGCAAATGTTTTTTTTAAAGCTATTTAATAGCATTAGTGCCATCTGATAAATTTTTTGTTCTTACTAAAAGATTCGAAATTTGATGAGCAGATCTTATATAAGATGTTACGTTTCAAGCACCGCTTCATATCTTAGTTAATGATAGCTTCGAAAAAATCGTTGTTTCTTTTACCCAATACTGATATCCAATATCAATAAAACCTTTTCAGCCTTGAAATAAGGTAATCAATTTATTTGGTATTTACAATTTCTATATTGTTTGTCTATTGGTAGCTATTTATAGAACTTTTGCAATCCATAAGTCGATCAGACAATAAAACGAACAGCATCTTAACTTTTTATTTATTTATTAAGCTTATTTGATAGTAATACATTGATTTTCAAATCTAAGAATCCCTTCTATACCTTCTTGCGATATCTCTGCCTCTGCGAACGGAATAAGTTGATATTATATCTGGATTCCTAAGTATCTTTGCAAATAAATGTTTTTATTTGATAAAAACCGTAATTGTGGAGACTATTTATGGAATGTTGTTTGCATGTCATTCAAGATTTATTTTGTGTTAGTTAGTCTTCGGCTGAAAAGTGCTATAATTGTATGATTAGCACTCTTGTATTAAGTTTCCTCAACAGATCTTTAGACCCAATGCTGTGCCGGACTGTAACTTGCACCAATTAACAGCCATTAGCTGCGGTCTGATGACGCTTCTTTCCAAAAGAGTGCTCGACTGTAGTGTTGTGTTTGGTCCCACTGTGCCGTGGGGTGGCTGTCTGACTGATTGTCTCGATAGCATACTGCCAGAGCCAGAGCCAGTGCCAGTGCCGAGTTGCCTTCGGCCCCAGCGCCCTCCATCAGCCCGGCCAAGTGGCATGCAAACTCCTTTTGAATGCAACCATGTGACCTTGGGCTTTATCGTTGTACGCTTGTCGCTGCTGTGGTTTCGTCTGTGGCGCAGCCCTTGGAAGCACCGCTCTGTGACTTATCTGTGGAGTGTTTGTAACGGTTGGAGCCAGGCCGGGCCGGCAACGGGGACCGGGACCTGCAGTCGAGAGCTGAGTTGAGTCGAGTCGAGAATCAGTGTAAAGTGATGTGTTAAGCTGTTAAGTGCCCAAGTAATTGTTTTCTTTCGGCTTCCATTCATTTGGGGGTTAACGTGGGCAGCGTGGCAGCCTGGCAGCTTTCACTTGCCACTTGCCATTTGACCTTGAGCCGGAGCCGGAGCCGGCGCCGGATGTTGTAGGCTAAATAATTCACACTGTTGCCGCCCACCCAACCATAAGTATACCAGAAAGTACACGTTGTTTGTATTTGCATTTACGTTAAGGTTTACTTTTATTTGTATTTTTATTTATATTTGTTGTATGTTCTTTGTATAATTTAGGTTTAACTAAAACTAATTTAATGCGTTGTCGTAATACTCGTACATATGGGAATTAAATTATGTGTAACCTGCCTATGCAATTCTATTCTCGACATCAAACTAAACAATAAGTGTGAATTATATCGTACTCTATAAAGAAGTATTTAGTATATAGTGTATGCTTGTATGTATGTATGTTTGTATTTATGTATTGGGCTGGATTGGGGGTGTATAGTATTGTTTTAATCGCTGCTTTACATATTCCTAGTATGTATTTCTAGTTGTGCGATGTTATCGAATGTCTACACTAACAGCAACGCCTATAGCTATCGAAATCTTTACACTATTTACATAGAAGTAGGTGTACATACACACTTATATTATATGTGTTTATAACCAATGTAAAAATATTTAATTGTAATTGTATGTTAATTGTGCCGATGCATTCTTTAACTCTGTGTGTGTGTGTGTGCGTGTGTGTATCTGTGAATGTTCATTTGTGCAATAATTCTTTCTGTTTTTTATTTTTACATATGTATTCTATAAGCTGCACCATGAAGAGAGGAAATAAATAACAGGCGAGATCCTATCCTTACAGGAAAGTTCTGAAGTGTATTTCTATATTTATATGTGAGTGGGAGCGTGTGTGTGTATGGGTGTGTGGATGTGTGTGACGGATCTAAGATTACGCGTGGAAACTGACGTTGCAACCTAAGTTTAGGTCTAAGCATAAAACCCATAAGCAACTTAAACACTAAGAGCGGGCTTAACACTAAACGTTGGGGATAAAATAGCAGTCAAATGCTGATGTGTCCTTCACAAGGACCACCGCATTGCCTCTCTCTCTCTCTCACTTCTCTCTCTCTCTCTTTCTCTGTATTTTAAATCTTGGCTTGGACTTAATCTTCGTGTGGCACATCGGCGGCCTGTTGCTGCTCCAGCTTAATCTTCATCAGGGGGGATTCGCGGACCGTAGTCGCAGCATCGGCGCTGGCGAAGAGTTCACTCATGTCCTGACCCGGAAAAAAGTCCTCAAAACGAGGACTTTTACTCACCGACTTCTGCAGCAGCCCATTGGCAATGGCCTCGAAATCGAAGCCAGCGGGCAAGCTCTCAAGAAAACGCTTGTTATACGCATAGTTGGAGAGCTCCTTGTGCTTGGGATAGTGCGAATAGGGGGAGGCAGCGCCAGGACGATTCATGGACGCACCATGAATTCGTTCATGCATGCTTGCAGATTTGCTGCCTGCCGACGAAGATGAACCGCGTGACTGGTTCCCATACTGCCGTGCCTGCATCGCATCCTTCAGTTCACGCTCTCGTGACAGGTCGCGTGAATAACTCGCCGCACTGGGATGCAGGGGAGCGCCAGCGCTGCCGGAGCTGCCCGAACCCCTCATATGCGACGCCTGCTGTGTGGGCATAACATTCAGACCGGGCAGATTCATTAGCCCCAGGGCGCTTAGATCGGGCAAGTTCTCCGAGCCGCGACGCTCGTTCTGCTGATGCTTGGCAGCGGCAACGGCAGCCGCCGCAGTCACCTGATCCTCGATCTCGGAGCGCTGCAGATAGGCCGGCGACTTGTACATGTTCAAGGACTGGGCGATGGGCGATTGCTGTTGCTGTTGCTGCGACAGTATCTGGCGACGCAACGTCTCCGTCATCGAAGAGAGCGTGCTATTAGTATCGGGAGGAGCAAGTGCAGCATTCTGGGCCACCATTTTGGCCGCCGAATGATACCCATTTGCAGCTGCGGAAGCGGCCGAGTTTCCTGCGCCAGCTCCAAAGTGCGGCTGGGGATGAGAAAGAAATGGGAGAAAAAAGGGAGAAAATATTAAGAATTTGTACGATAACTTAATGCCTTAGCAGACAAATTGCTCTCGAAGTCTAATTTCTTAGTACACAGAAGGTAGTATAATAATGAATTAATATCAAAACATCAATTAATTATCAAAAGACTATCAGCGAAGCTGCTGTATTGGTCTGTTTTCGGCTTTTCGATAAAGTTTTGACTATAAAATAGACTTTGAAATTAATGATATAAATATTTATCCTGCTCTGCAAATATATTATTAGCCAACATAAAGATAATATTGAAATGAATAAGGTATCTGAATAGTATCAAAAAATCGGAATAGTAAATATAAATATATGTCTTCCTCCATTAATATACACTTGGAAACATTTTTTATACAATTCGTCTAACTTTCGAACGTCAAGTATGAAAAGTAAATCAATCATAGAATAAGTTAATGTGCTTTCTCCAGTGAACCTGTAGACAACTTTATTTTCTGTATTTGCTATCGAGAAATGCTTTGAAAAACTTATTCAAAGGTAATCAATAAATTCAAAACTAAGCCCAAGGCGGCCCATGGTTCTTAGGAAGCTTCTATGACGTTGAACGTACAAGTACCTAGTTTTGTGTCTCATATTTGTAAGCCAAATGATTATAGTATTGTAATAAAGCAATTACTTACGCCATGTGCCTGTCCATTGGCATACTGATGGGCCGCTGCGCCAATGTCCTCTTTGATTTCGCGATAGTCACGGAACACGACGGCCTTAATCACCGAGCGAATCAGCTCCTCCGGCCACATGCCGAGCAGAATGCGCTGCGGACGACCGCGGGCCTTGGGCCGCGGATCGGTGCCGCCGTCGAGGGAGGGGCCCAGCATATTATGCACACGATTCGCATAGAGGACAAATGTCGGGTAGGGTATGTCGTATTTTCGCGCGGCCTGCGATAGAGAGAGACCCTCCTTGAGAACGCTGAAAATGGCTTCGGCCATGGCTTCCGGCCGCCAGGACTTCAACGGACCGCGCTCACGAAACCTGAGCTGTTGCACCAAATTCTGTTGGTTGGTGTTCCAGCACTTCTGCCACATGGACTGCAATTGGTACTGATAGCTGTCTGCTGGTTTGGCGAGAAGTCAAAAGCGGAAAGGAATTCTATGCTTAGTACTTAGTTCGTATTCAACAAACAAATATGTATATGTATGCTAATTAGTTGGGCGCCAACATGTGGAAATTGTTTTGCATTGTGGTTGTGTTGTTTGGCTGGGTGCTTTTTTGTGTGTTAAATCTAATCCGCCTTGTCACTTACCTGCCACAGATGTGCCCGTCGTGGCTCCCATCCAGCCGTGTCCGCCACTGCTCTCAATCATTTTGGCCTGCAAATGGGTAAGAAGTGAAGTAAAGTCGTTTTAGCGAACTGTCAACCACAGAGAATGCCTGACAACCTGACATTACAGCACAAAATGTTGCCCATTAAAATTTATTGAAGCCATAAATGTGGTTGTGCATATCGGTGGGCAAAAGCCACATAAAATTAGAATACAACTACTATTCCTATTCGTATTCGTATTCGCATTCGCAATCGAGTATATAACATCTATATAAACGAACACTTTATGCTCATTCTTATTGTCTTTCCAGCCCGGGTCTTTGGCATGTTGTCGTCGAGAGTGAGATCAGCTCAAAATTCAAACAGTTATTTATTTATTGCTAGTATATGTAGTGCTAGATATAGTATATGTATGTATATAGAGGAGGTCGGTCCGCTTTTAGTATTTATTAAAAACTGCCCCAACTGCCGCAGGACAGCATAATCAGTACCCTTGCCACGCTTGTTTAACTTTTTTTCTCTGCTTTTCTTTGCCTTTTTTCTACCCCATTTTGTGGGCTATACACCGGGGCATAGAAAAAGTTAAATTAATGTTGCTTCGAGTGACCAGCATGGCTAGTGACGTCCAGCCTGGATGCCAGTTGCAGCCTATGAGTCACTCAGTCTCTCTGTCTATGCCGACCACTTGACTAATGCAGCTCTCAACAGGGCCTATGCTAGACATGCATTTAATATGCGTCTATGGGGTGCAATGGTCTCACAACAAACCTAATATTCCACAAATCATGTGAACCAACAGCATAAGATTAAAGTAGGAGAAGTGGTAGCTCACAGGTATAATGCATTAATAATTGCGAAATGGAAAGAGGCACATCAGAATGGAATTAGTAATATCTATTTTAATTTCTTGGCCACATAAATATGCCAAGGATAAGAGAAAACGCTTCGTAAATCGCTTAGAAATGGGCAAAGAGCGTCGGTTAATTAATTCTGCCATACCGGTGGCTGAATCACGCTTTTTTGTGCCGCTTTTTCCAGCAAAGTGTTATTTGCATTCGTTTAAGTGATTTAGAGCTATTGGAGGTCTAGCATAAATCGCTCCCCACAAAAATTTGTAAGACTGATAATAATTAGAACCATGCGATTCTTTCTATCAACCTTAACATTCAAGGCGGTTCGATTTAAATCACTAACAGCAACTCGGATATAAAGCCATTAGATCTAATGAGTGGAGACTCAATTCAAAAACCAACTCCAACATTCCCTTCAGTCTAAGATATTGTTCGCGGCGTTAGAAAAGGTCTCTTTTAGCTCCTCGTTTAGTTCAAAATAACCCCTTCGTAAATGTAATACAGTGTCTCCTTGGATTCCTTACTTAAATAAATGTACGTATATTTGTAATTTCCACAGAAACAGATATTTTCTAAAAAAAATAAGAGTTTTAGGAGCTGAGTTTAATAAAAACTCAGTCAGTAAGAATCGCTCTAATATTTTAGGCAAAAAAACCAACAGTTTCTCATCCAAATACTACAGTTTTTCCCCCTTATTGGTTGACTCACAGATTCGTAGAAATATTGTACTGGAGAGGGCTCACCACATTCTTAAGATATGCATAAGAGATCTCCTGAAATCGTATATAAATGCGTCCATATTTTGGAACGAAAACTGAAGAGACGAGCTTGAAGAAAACTCAGTCGGGCGCTGTAGGGAAACAATTTAGTATTTCGGTGGAAACAGGCAGCTTCTTACTATGAATAAAATATATTTTAATAAGCACTTACACACACAAATGTATGTACATTAATTTATGTATAAGTATGTATGTATATGTATATGTATATAGTATGTATGAAGCGATATAAAATGTTGTGCTCTGCGCCAACAAAAGAGTTTAATTAATTATATTTTCAGTTCTCGAGCGAGCAGCAACAAAAACAAATGCTACAACAACAACAACGGCAACAGCAACAATGTTCTCTACAAAAACATAAATTTGAGCGTGCGTGGCGCATTCAACTTTCTTTCAACTCATTTAATTTAATTTGAGGCGCTTCGCTGCCGCCGCTGCCGCCACCGCCGTCGCCAGCGCCAGCGCTCTTGATGACTACAAGTCGCTCTTGCTGGTTGTTGTTACTGCTGCTGTTGTTGTTGCTGGTGTTGTTGCTCCATCGTCACTTGGTATTTGCCACTTCCTTCTCATCCGACTCGTTCGCTATCCGTAGTCCCTCAACCCTCAATCCCCGCCTGCCTGCTGGCTTGCCAATTACTCATCGAGCGCACGCCCCATTCACATAATAATTTATTTAATTAACTTTTCCGCTGCTACAAATTTCTATAAAAATCTATTGATTTTTTTGAACAGCAGCAACGACGACGGCGACGACGACTTGGTTGGGTAAGCTGATTGCTTCTTCTTGTTGTTGTTGTTGCTGTTTGTGTTTTTGTTTTTGAATTTAATACATTTGGTTTTCTATTTTCCTTCCATAGTTGCTGCATAGTGCTATACCCTTTCCAAATATATTTCTATATCTATATATATATATATATGTATTTATATATGTTATATATAGAGGGGGGGTGTGTGTATTAGAAATGAATTCTTACCCCGTGTCTGTGGCAGTAATAAAATATAAATTTATAGCACACAGCCCCACACTTGCATCATTTCGATTCATGGGAAAGGGATTCGAATCGTACTTTGCTTTCAACACAGCCTTTAAGTCTTGACTGTTACAACAACAACAACAACAACAACGGCAGCAACAATAATGTTCAGGTCGTCGCTACAAAACCCGTTGGAGTCTAATGCAATTTTAATTTTATTTTTCAAGTGCGCACATAAACTCGACGCCACACCACACCATCACTTTACACCACTCTGCCACAAAAATATGTATAAACTACAACCGCCTTGGCGCCTGCCAACCTTCCTGGCTCCTTTCCCCCAACTCCTTGCAGCTCCTTAGGATAACGCGCCCAACCCCTTCGGTTTGTTGCCTTAGAAGTTCTGCGCTATATTTTTTTGTTCGCTGTACATTTCTTATATTATATGTATAACACTTTATTTATTATTCATTTTCGATTCGTGCTTTACCGTCAGACAGCGCTCACCGCCAGCGTCTCAAGTTAGTTATATTTCTCGTGTCTGCCTGCAACTTTTGCCACCGCAGCCCCCTTACTATTTCTTCTACCACTGCCATAAACCCATCTCCTCCTCCTCCTCCTCCCCCTCCCCTTCCTAGATCGACGCCTGCATTCGTTGTCGGTTTATTTCCGTACTTCCTTGAATGGCTCTGCGCGCCTGATGTTGCCAATGAGAATAAGGATATTTAAGCACTCATTGCACAATGCGTGAATCCAACAGTGAGTGGCCATTTAACTGAATTGCGCCGCCAACTTCTAGAATTTCCAATTCATATTCGTTCATTTGCCTCTATAATTCAATATATTTGTAAATTGTACCCCCGACTTTGCTTAGACTTTGTTAAAGCTCTTATGTATAGTAAAAATTATTATTAAAATTGTTGAACTCTTTGTTTTCAATTATTATGCAGCCTTTTCTATGTAAATAAACCCGACCTATTTACACCTGTGTCTCTGTTATCTTTCTTTAAAAAAAAAATAAATTAAATAAATAACTTTCATGTTTAATATTTAACATTCCTTTTTATTTTATTTTTTTAATATTAATATTTTGTTATATTCAAATTCAAGAAATTCCTTTAATATTTGTAAGTTTCGTTTGAAAATGTTCCTACCTTCACGTATGCTTCAAATATCTGTCTTAGGGAATGAGTAAAATTTTTTACTTTCTGTTTTGCGTTTCTTGAAAATATTTCCACCTATGCTCTAAATATCTGTCTAAAGGGATGAGTACAAAATTAATTTTCTGTTTTGTGCCTTTCTTTGTTATTTGAAAGAAACTTTGCGTGGCACTTTTATGGTGCGATTATAAATCTTATCAGCACGTTTTCTATGTAATATAATTTATCATGTTGGCCGCAATTCAAAAATTCATGTTATATCCTTAAACGTATACTTGTAAGACGAACAAATAGTCCCTCCATCCATCCCTCTCCGTCCGCCCCGACAAGTCAGTAAAAGTTGCGCATTTTGCAGAGTCAGCCGGAAACCCAAACGAATGCAGCACACTTTTGCGCGTGGTCGGAACTTAAACTTATTTACTTATACATATATTCGTATGTGTATGTGTGTGTGTGTGTATGTGTGTGTGTAGACAGTACTGTGGTGGTAAATAGAGGTACCAAAAATACAAAAACTAAATATTTAATAGTATTTGATTGCACGAATTTCATATAAAATTTGCATATTGGCCCCAATGAATTATTCATGAAATAATGTGAAAAACGCATTTTGCGTGAAACAAGAACCGGAGGCACTGAAGCAACGACGACGACGACGACGACGGCGACGACGACTACGACACTCGGAACATAAGTCAAAGTAGGTGCAGAACTTCCCTCCCAGGAGTTGGTTGCAACATTACGACTGCTTCCTTTCTATAAGCAATAGCAGTGCGGAATAAACTGAAGAATAAAAAATTTCAAAAAAAAAAAAAAAAAACGAAAAATAAAAAGAAAATCCAAGCAAAAACAATTGAACGGCAAATGGAAATTGCTACAATTTTCAGAAGGAGTATAGTTGGCTGCCTCGTCCGATGTTGGTGTTGACTGCCCGTGTAAGCCACGGCAATTACAACAAAACTACAAACAGCAGTAGCAGCAACAACAAACAGCTAAACTAATTGTAGTAATAATAAAGCTAAGTGCGAGTGCATGACGCTTGCGCGCTTTATATACATACAGATACATATATAAATATATATACTCATATGTATATATGTATATAAATATATATACATATGTAGATGTGTGTGTGCAATGAAAGTTTTGTTTTATTTAGCTTGCAACAGCAACAGCAACAGCAGCAGCAACAATTGTACTCACAACAATGCCAACAATAATTTAAATGCAATAAATAATTATACGCCAAGAGTGCTGAGTGCAGCGTTCATTGGGGTGTTTC